CGACTGCAACAGATTGGAAAATAAATATAAATAAATATAAATTCGATTAAAAATCCCAAGTTTGCGTAACTGGATCCGATTAAAAGCTCCGCGTGCAGCATCCCATATATCTCTCCAAGAGCCGGAGGTATTCAGAATATATAATACAAGTCTGCAGCATCCGGAGAGTCGGGTCCAGACGCAACCCCTGGATTGCGCAGATATATCCGAGTCCGACACGTCCGAGTTTGGCGGAATAGCAATAAATTGAAGCAACGCGGCGAAGCTTTGTATCATCGGGTCGAAGCAAATGTCAAACTCCGCTATGCAGCAAAGCGCCGGCCCGAGTTTTCGTCAAATATTTATCGTAAAACTTTTACGTATTTTGCATATATATATATATATATATATGCGGAAAATTGCGTACATTCAAATCAAATAAAAATATATATATATAATTGAGGATTATTAAATTAATTTAAATAATTTTTCGTTTATTTTTTTAGACTATTTGCAATGGCGAGAATTTTCTGCGAAAAAATGCGAGGCCGAAAATTTTTTCTCGCTATAATGTAATTCGTTATATTTCAGAGACGAGAGAATAATTTTAACGAAAATTAAATAAAAAGTTACGCACAACTTTTTTTCAAGTAAGAAAACGGACAGGGCATCAGATGTAAAGTGATAAAATACATTTCAAAGAGGAGATTACAATCGTAGTCCGCAAATTGGAAAAAATATCGAAGTAACAGAGCAAAAGCGAGAGAAATAAGAGAGAGGCTTATATGAAATTTACCGACACACCGTGTGTGGCTTTTACAAAATAAATGTCGATAGTTCGTATACCTTAACTAAAAGTTTTGCATGTGCACTCTTGTTACGATATTCCACTATCCTGGGAATATAGAGGAAAATGCAGAATAAATGGAGGCAAAAGGTACATCATGCTTTGGCCTCGGTCCAAAAAAAAGGATGACTTTGTCGATCTGAACGGTCGGGAAAATAGAAAAATCGCTCTCCTCCTCGCTCACTCGCTTATGTGTACTTTTTAATAATAAATAAAAGTTTCAGCGGAGTTCTCCCGCAATTGAATACACACACGAAACGAGGACAAGAACGGAAACTAGATTCTCCCCTGCAATTTGTAAATAGAATTTTAAATTCGAAAATTCAAAAAAAAAAAAAAAAAAAACGCAAAAAGAAAGATAAATAGTCGAAGGAGAATTATCAATTTTTAATCGAGGATTGATTGTGATCCAGTTCGAAATAATTTGAAATAATACATTTATGACATTAACATTCGCTATAATGAAATTAATTCCTTCGGTAATGAAGCTTTAGCGCGATAATCAATGCAACCATACGACAACTATGTCTATTTCGAGGCGCGCGTATGTACACTTCATGCCACCGATTTCATCATTAGTCAATGTAACACGGATTACATTTTTAAATTGAGGATTATAATATGATTGGCTGATAAGCCGCACACACCGCAAATTGAAGCGAGTCTGGGATATCGATTTTCTTTGAAATATAACATGATTAATAGGAAGTATGCGGTAACAGTAATTTTAATCGTATTAAGCGGTGCATGTGCATTATAAAAATTGGATTGCTACTCAAAAATAAATATTTTTGGCAATATTGAAATTATTTCGACTAAACCAATTTACTTTTTTATTGAATTATTATTGCATTTAAGTCGTTGAATTATTCCTTCTTCATGTTTTTATAAATATTTTTACAAGAGAGAAAGAGAGACGATGAATCTATATTTGTAGCCTGAACTATTAATACTTTTATATATAAAGCTAAATATTTTTACGCAAGTATTTTAAGATTTTTTATTATTTTATTTTTTACAATAAAAAATAAAAATTTTCTATAATTATATGGGATAATTAAAATTCTACCACAAACAAATATGTTGTAAATTAATTAAATATTTCTAATTAATTTTATTAATAATTTTTCCCAAATTATGTATTATAAGTTTGAATGTAGGATGCTTTCTATTCGGAGAATATTCGTATTTTCGAGACACATATATATTGAGATGTATACTATTACTGAATACCTAGATAAATATTTTCAAGTATGAAACAAGACTGCCAATCTACATTTGGAGAATTTCTGCGAGTGCTCGAGTACAGGCGGATTATGTAGGAGGAATGAGAATACCTTCTTTTTTCCTTTTCTCTTAGTCTCTTACTGCTTATGTAAATAAACTCATTTCGGGGCTCGGCTCGAAAGAAACTCGACGAAAAGTAGGACTTTATGTTTAAAGGGAATATCTAAATCATTCATGAAAATCTTAAATTATAATGTATGATAAGCCGATGAAATGAGATTATTCGCTCTTATTTAGTATTTAGACGTTTCGGTTTAAATTTAGGGAAAATTACGTACATATATATAAAATTATTATATATAATTATAATATATAATATTATATATTATATATATATATATTTTTTTGTATATATACACTTTCTTTCTAGAAAAATCATATGTGATAAAAAAGATAAAACCATTTACAGAAACAATTGTCTTTTTTTAGATTTCTATTCTTTTTCCTTTTAATTTTTACATTGTTTAAAATTTAATAATACATCCCTTAATTTGCACTGCTTAATATTTGTCACTGAATATCAGCACGATTAAATATTCGCTCGCGGTCATATGCGAGCTCCGTTTAAACACAGAGCGGTTTGCTTAGCTGATGATCGATAATAGCGATAATTGCATGGACACGCATATAATTGGGACAGCTCTCGGCTGTTCGTGACAACGAACGCAAAAAATTTTTTTTTGACCACAATTAGCATTCACATACGCGCCGTTCGCGAAAGTTTATCGATATGTTTGTAGGCTGCATGCCAACTCGAACGAAATTTCACCTTGTCGCACGCAACGGAAGTAACAAATACTTTCTCTTCTTGTCTCGAAACGCGAAAATCCCATGTGGGTTTTCAGATCCCGAAATCCGATCGATAATATTGTGCTTTGTTCGACGTAAGGAAATGGCATTCATTTCGAGCTTTACTGATATTTGGTAGTACAATCGCTTGCAATTATTCCGAACGAGACTCGAGCTGTAACAGGAAGTTGGCGCATTATTCAAAGCAGCCTTCGATGCCATTGGAGTTAGTCACGCGATGCACAACAGCACACGTGTTATCGGACCGCGTCCGCAAACGTAAATCAACGATATCAACTTCTAATTGCTAGAATCCAGCAACAAAAGCTTCGAACTTTTCTCTCATTGTTCAAATATTCACGATAGAGAGATTCGTGGTTCTTCTAAATTCACTTTGGAATAAATATGAGCACAAATACGCTGACATATTTCGCATACAGTCGTATGCTTTTTTTCTAGAATTATTATACATATAAAATAGATTTATCAGAGTGTCTGTACTCAAATCTTATAAACAAATTTTTCCCTGAGAATCTTCTGATCTTTCAGGTATTCCCGTTCAAAATTCCAGATAAAATCAAATTTGTAAATACAGCTTTTTAAAATAAGTTTCTTTAATGTATGTGCTTTCTAATGTTTTCTCTTCATAATTGCAAACAAAAATATAAAGCAGAAAATAATTTATAATAAACGTCTTAAGGAAAATATTATTTAAATTAATTAGATATTAAATTATTTATTAAATATATAAGGAACACTAATTTATTTAAATATTACCTATTCAAAAGTTAACAGTTTTTTATGTAACTTATACAAGATCTTGATACTAAAAATGAATCGTCAATAAAAAATTACACGAAAGTTAGACATGTTTCTTAAATGATCGATAAGAATAAAATCATGAAAGAGGTAATTTATTGAGTTTTAAAATAAAAGGAGAGAGAGAGAGAGAAACTTGAATAGGATGATAAAGTTTCGATATAAAATTAAAGATTTATGTAGTAATAATGCATAATTGCTAGTCGCTCGACTGAATTTTCAATAATGAATTCTATTGATAGAAGTCGGAAGGATTCGCCATACAATGAAAAGCTTCTCGCGAAATTCCGACGAGGGACGATTAAGGAAACACTCGTATCTCGGAAATATCCAATTTGTCGTACAAAACACGAGTGCCATTAGAGTTCACGTGCCGTCACATCATCTCCTGTATTCATCCACGGGATTCTAACCCGCCAATCCCGCACTCAAGCTTTCATCGATCGCCATTCGCCATTTGCCGTAATCACTTCTCGAATCGCTCGTCGTAGCCTAGACTTCGCTAAGCGCACAATCGTTCCATTGATTAGACCTCGCCGGTGTTTTATCGTATCGAGCGATATCAATGACGCGTTTCATCGATCAAGTGCATTCTGAACGAAGTGCGCCGCGATTAGTGGACACACGTGCAAGTGCATGGAAAAAAATCATTTACTTCTGCAGTGCGCTCTACTTCGTCATCGGTTCGACCTAACGTGGAATATGGTGTCGTTTTTTGCGTAGAGTGATGAAAAGATGTGATTGTCCGAGAAAATGACGTAGTTTTCTAAATTGATAATACAAGCGCGTGTTCATTTGATAAAATCTCAAGTTTTGTCATATATTTAAATTCATTTTTCAATTATTTTTTGATATCTCCATTCTTATTATCGTAAGAAATGACGTATCTTAAACTGTACTGTCTCGTATCAAATTATCACTTACGTATCTTATCGTCGAAATAAAAAATAATAAATGTGTGCCAAGTATACCATGCGAACAAACATTAATAATTTTCGAATTGATAAAGACCATATTTTGATCGCGATAAAAATTCGAGAGACTTTCAATCGGCAACTGTTATTTACGCTTCTTTAGCAAAGCTCCTTCTTTCGACGACGTGCAAATTCTCTCAAAGGAGAAAACTTTCAATTTTTGAACCACGTCGCTAAACAATCACAATGTTCACCTTCCATGACTCACTTCCGCGTCCAGATCAAACATTTTTTGATAGAAAAAATAAATAAAATAAAATAAAATAAAATAAAAACACCTCGCCGCGTGTGTCCGTGCTCTTTAGGGATTCCAAGCTCGTCGAGGCTCGTCGAGTACGTGACGTTGCTCAATCGTTGCGGAGTTTCGCCCGCAACGATCAGCCAATCGTTGCAGCGACCAGTTCCCACCAGACAGTCGCCTGGAATCATTCACAGACGTTTCTTCGCGCGCTACCGTGGCGGTCAAGGTGGACCTTCCGACGGATACGAGATGACGAACGCCAAACGGGGTGGTTATCCGCCAATTTGGAAGATTCTAACGATACTTTTCGTCATCTGCGAATTTATCACGACCACGAGCACGCAGACGACCTTCGTCGTGAGCAACGCGGTGGACGATCAACTCGGTAAGGACTACTTCGTGGGACCCTGTCTGGTGAACACCAATCAGACCTGTCCCGACGAGGAAGTGACGTTCTTCCTCTACACGAGATTCAATCTGGATGAGGGCCAACAGATCCTAGTGAACGACACGAGTTCGAATCTTGCCGATATCAACTTCGTCGCGGCGGTGCCCACCAAAATTATCGTGCACGGCTACAATTCGGATATGCAACTGGGATACTTGGTGGATATCAGGAACGAGTACTTGAAGCGAAGCAGATATAATATCATCGCGGTCGATTGGCATCGTCTGGCGACGGCGCCGTGTTATCCCTTAGCCGTCCACAATGTGCCTCACGTGGGCGATTGCCTGGCACAGCTGGTCGACCGTCTGAGAGATCACGGTGCCGCGGACATCCACATGATCGGTTTCAGCTTGGGTGCCCACGTGCCGGCATTCGCGGCCAACGTGCTGCGTCCGTATCGGGTGCCCAGGATCACCGGCCTCGACCCGGCGATGCCGCTCTTCATCACCGTCAACAAGGACGAGAAGTTAGACGCGAGCGACGCCGAATTTGTGGACGTGTTGCACACGAACGCGTTTATTCAGGGTAAGATCGAGCCGAGCGGACACATCGATTTTTACATGAACGGCGGGGTCAATCAGCCTGGATGCTGGGAACATGGGAATCCATTCGGATGTAATCATCATAGAGCGGCGGAGTACTTTGCCGAGTCGATCAACTCGAAGATCGGTTTCTGGGGCTGGCCCTGTTACGGATTCGTGGCTTATCTGCTGGGTCTCTGCCCTCCTAGGTATCCCGCGGTGTTGATGGGTGAGGATGTCAACAAGAGATATCAGGGCTTTCATCTGGTGAAGACGAAGGCTCAGAGTCCGTACGCGGAGGGAATATTCACGGTAGAGGATCTGTACCAGCTGGATCTTTATCAGCAGGATCTTTATCAGTGATTACGATTTCCTCGGGGAAAATGTTACGAGAGACCTCGTACGGATTGATGAAACGCGGGAGATGGGAACGAAAATATAAAAGACTCTTCGTGTTAACGTCGCGTGTCGGGAAGATTGAGATATCTTGATGATGCCAAGTTTTTGTCGAGAGAATTGTAAGTCATTCAACACGATTTTGAAACCAAAATCTTGAAAAATCTAAATAGATTATATTCGAACTTTATTTCGAGAAAAGTATTTCAATTAATCGTTTAATATTATGTCTAAAATTTTAAGAGATATGCGTAATTTTTCTGGAGATTTTTAATTTATTTTTAAAAATAGCGAGCGATAATTCACTACAAGTAGATCCCGTCCAATATTTTTTTTCATTATGAGTATGAAAAAAGAGATTATAATTATATATTGTATATTGTATTTCGCGCAATAGATTACATGATATACGCATTTTCTTATATCAAAATGCAAAATACAAAATGCATCTGACATATCTAAGAGGAGTGTGACAGAACATTGAAGACAGTCACGAACTTTGTTACGAGTTCTATTGTTCTATAGATTAGGTGAATGAAATCGACGTATTGAGCAAAGTCTCGCGAGACTTTTCGAGACTTGTCAATTTTGGAACACGCGGAATCTGATGCTGCGCGAGAAGATGTAGTATGTCAAGGTCAGACAACTATCGCGACCTGCTAATCGATATCTCGCTAAACCGGAGAAGTGGGGCGGAACACGATTGCGACATACTAGCGAATTAAACAATCTCTTATCGATCCGAAGTACAGCGTTCAAATAAAAAGTATTTACAATTATATCTATCCATCTATATAGTATATGCCAGTCCATCTATTTATCTGTCTATCTAATCAATTTATCCGCCACTTGAAATGTTTCTTCTGATATTTTTATGGTATTGTCAAGCTCTAATATTGGCAAATTCGCAATCTTTTCTAATCAATCTTGTCCTTTGCTTTTCATATTTATTTTATTCCAGAATTATTTCTCAATAATAGATAGATGCATGGCATTTTGCATGATAAGTTACATATGTATATGTCTGATATATACATATGCCGCATTACATGGGTTTTGAAATTAAATATGAATTGATACATAGTAATATATTGCGTAGAACTTTTTGCGCGAATCTTTCGTGATTTTATTTTATTTTATTTTATTTTTCCTTATATCTTTCTCGTCTAGAATGTATCGAAGTATTCGATATAAAGGAAATAGTGCTATGAGAAGACCGAAAGCCCGCCTTACGAACTGATTCTGTTAGATTCTCGAGGATCGATCTCAGGAGAATGAGACTTATTATCTGTGTACGCTATATGAAAGACATTTCCTGAGAGAGTTAAAGATATCCCACACAAATAGCTTTTCGATTATTTTTCTCTTATTGCTAGTTTAGTATTTGCAGAGACAGTTTTGTTATATTTTTGTGAAATTTTTGATATTAATATAAGTCAATATTTTATTATTTTTAGCTAAAGTTAATGCATGAGAGTTAAATATATACTTATATACATGTATATTATAATGCTCATATAATGATGCCACATATAACATCATTTATATTTTTACGAAAATAATTTAAAAATAATTTAGAAATAGAAAGATATAAAGAAAATTTCAGAAACTATTATTTTATATGGTCTAACTATATTTAAAGATTTTATTCAAATAACTTTATATTTTAGATATTTTATATTATAAATATAAATAAATAAAAATTTGATTAGACATTCTTCCTGATTTTGATATTTTATATTTTGTTTGAATTCTAAACACATACTATTTTTCGTAAGTATAAACCTCACTTTAAGTTAACGTATCTCAATATGTAATGTTTGTCATAAGAATGTAATTTTATAAGTAAGGAAATATATATATCTAAGTATTACATATACATTTATATTAGGTATATGCACACATAATACATTATATTATATATCATATCCAATTATATAATAAGATATTATATGCAATATATAAGAGCAATAAATAAAATCTCGTCACATTCGTACTTTTTCAATCAATGCTTGTCATTTGCTTTGATCGTTGGCCTATTTAATTTTCAAAAAATCTTATTAAATTTTAATACACGTACTCGTTTATATACGCTTTTGTTTTCCACGTTACAATAATTATATTATTCATAATTGCATATATACTTTATAATATTTACGGTTTTATAATCATATTAACAGTTTGGACGATCTCGGGAAAAAATGCGTTTAATTTCCAGAGAAAACTATTTGCTATAAATTACGGAACGATATTATCGCGATTTTTTTCTCTCTCTTTCTTCCTCTATCTGTATATTCATACAGCCATTGGTTAACCTCGTTTCCGGAGAACCGTTCATATAATGCGATCCAATCAACTTAATCCGCAGTATCAAAGCATTCGAAATCCAAGCCGTCCTGATTCGAATGTTAATGAATGCGAGGAACACGTCCCAGAGGGTGGGAGAAGGAAATTCGCGCGATTGTATCCAAACAATTCGTTAGCAACTAACGAGACCCTCGTTACTGACTACGTGATGGCAAGAATGATCCAAGTAAAAAGCACGAGAGGGAGAGAGACAGTAATTTCTCTGTCTCTCTCCTCCAGAGAAAGCTCAATGGTCATAGCTTAAAATTGAACGACAAATTTCGCGTTCCAGCAACAGGTTGCGTCCGACACTAATTTGCGATTAAGCTGCGAGATCGTCGCTCCGCGTCCGCTCAATTAAGACTCTTAAATTGACTTTAAAGGAGTTTCTTCCGAATGCGCGAGATCGGACGCGACCAGCTGACAAATCGCCCGTAAATCAACGCGCGGTTTGGAGAATACGAGATTGCAATATATTACTGTCCTTTTTTTTCTCAAATCAATATATACAAAAAATATGTACACAATTAATGTATTATATAATTAAATGTAGGTATATTAATAAAATTTGTGTAAAAATTTGTATTCGAAAAATACTTTTTTTTTTGACAGACACAAGGGCTATTTAAATCCTTAAAATATGGATATAATTCGACAGTATTTTCATCGACGAATTGAATTTTTTTACCCTCACTAAACACGTAAGATGCGCGTCCTAAAAACAAAAAAAATAAATAAAATTGAAGGAAACTGTTTGTGTTTCGCCGTTCCTTTTTTTATGACAGACACAAGGGCTATTTAAATCCTTAAAATATGATATAATTCGACAGTATTTTCATCGACGAATTGAATTTTTTTACCCTCACTGAACACGTAAGATGTGCGTTCTAAGAACAAAAAAAAATAAAATTGAAGGAAACTGTTTGTGTTTCGCCGTTCCTTTTTTTATGACAGACACAAGGGCTATTTAAATCCTTAAAAAATGGATATAATTCGACAGTATTTTCATCGACGAATTGAATTTTTTTACCCTCACTGAACACATAAGGTGCGCGTTCTAAAAACAAAAAAAATAAAATAAAATTGAAGGAAACTGTTTGTGTTTCGCCGTTCCTTTTCCTCCGCGAGCGGAAAAGCCGGCTGATTATCATACTTCGCGAGCGGGCAATGGCAGCTGTATTAAAAGTTGTTCGAATAGTTGGGGGTGGGCGAACCGTTTTCCCGAGTACACAATTTAAACTTAGGCGGAGAAATGCGCATCCTTACCGCGGCCGCAATCCCGCATTCTCGCCATCGCATCGGATCGTCGAGGAAAGGGTTGATGGAAAGGGCGCGCTGGTCTCCAGATGCGCAAGAATGCCAATCTTGGCGATAGAATGCGAGAAGTCTTCGGAGAGAAAAATGCGGGGAAGTATAGGGAAACGAAGGCGAGTGAGAGAAAAAGGAGGGAAAACTTGTCGAAAATGCGCCGAATGCGCGTGCAATACTCCGGAGGCTGAATCACAATGAGCGGATGCTATTTCGTTATCTCTCGGTTAGCTCGCGCTGCAATGGAGATTAGACGAGAGAAACTTGTTTCCAGCACTGCTGCACCGGAGCGAAATAAGGGCTTTACATTTTTTTTAATTTGTAGAAAAAATATGGGGAAAATATATTTTTCAAGTCTTAAACTCTCGACGCGCTACATACTATGTATACGTAGTATATCATCTTGAATAATTTTTTTGTGAAAGATTTAGTTTTTGAAAATTTTGCAAAGCCAACAGCTTCACTCGAAACGATTTGTTTTCTTTTTTTTTATTTCGATCTACATTTTAAGCGGAGGTATATCACACGATATTGTGTCCAGCGATATACTCGACATCGAGCGCAAAAAATAAAAATAAAAATAAAAAAATGCCGGAGAAAAATCCTATGTAGTCCACTTTCCATGATTTACTTTGGTATCTCGCACCATATACGTATATATATATATGTGTGTGTACAGACAAATATGTTTCTCTTGGTACTCTCGAATATATATGTATGTACGCGCGCCCTCGCAGGCGCAGTATCCGAGATAATTTGAATTTGCCGAGTGGAATATAATTTAATAAAACTTTACCGCGGAATTCGCATTAGCCACGCATTACCTTAGCTCTCTCCGCCTCGGCTGTTTACTTTACCCGAGGTTATTTTCGTGAACGGGCAAATTTCTTTCGTAAGATTTACGAGAATCACGATGTTACGTCTGACAGCATTTCAAGAACTTCAAAATAATTTTCTCTTCCGTAGTTTTATCGACTATGTCTGAAAATGCGTCTCGAAAATTGAAAGATAAACGTGCAAAATATTGTTAATCTCATAACATTGTAAAATATATGAGAAATATCCGCTATTTTATACATTCGAGCGTCATTCATTTTTTTGTTCCATATTCCTTTATATCGATAATCGACAGCAATTAACTGATAAAAAATATATTTGATATTATTATTTGTGAAGTTGCCATTAACAAATTTATGATGCTATTCAAATGTATGGAGCTTTCATCCCTCCATACATGCGCGCCAATATATGAAATTCAGCTCTCTATTAATTCTAGTACAATGAAATTGGATATACATCGATGACGTATTACAAAGGGGCGATTTAATATAATAACCATATAGAGTTTCAAAATTGTTTAAAATCATCCCAGACAATTTTATATCGACTATGCGTCGTTCAGGACATTTGAGTAACAGTTTTACGAGGCCCGTAATAAATAAATTTACGGTGCAAAAAATTTACGGTATTAAGACACTAAATGCGTGAATTAGCCAAGGCACAAATAAATGTTGTGCGAAGTAATCGCTTTCGAGTGATCAATTATCGTTATTGCGAATATCGTATCCCTGTATATGCGCGTCCAATGAATAATAATTATGCGACGTAATAATTATTATATCGCGTCATAAGCTCATTATCGATGAAAATCATTATCTGATACCTATATCGTATATTCCGTTCTTTCATCAGTAATCGCTGTTCGATTACTGATAATATAAGCGCAAACTAGAAATTCATTTTCCTTCTTCTTCTTTTGTTAATTCGCAATCGCAAACGAGAGTAATATTTTCAATGTTCTAATGTAATATTAAGAATTACATGTTAATACATATATGTATTTATCCATATTTATATTAACTATATATTTTAATTTTGAATATTCTGAATTATTATAACTGAATATACATATATAAATCTAAAGTATTATATACATATATGTATATATAAAAAATCTTTAATTTATTTGCTGCAGCTAAAAATAGTGGTGCTAATACACATCGATTCGATTTCATCTCGACACGTGATATTTCCATTTTTACATATGTACGTAAAATGTATAAAAAAAAATGTGTCAGAATTAAAATAGCTACTCTTCTCTCTCTTTCTCTTGTGAACCGAGCACTC